TTCAGCGCTCTTCAGTTTTGCTCTACTTTCTTTCTTCTCGGTTCATTGCCTTCAGCAACATTGAGGTGCTGACACATTAATGACGCCCTCTTTCTTTAGGTTTTTAGGTTTTGTTTGGATGCACAGCTTCTTTTCTCGTGGATTTATTTTGTCTGCGATTTCTCTCAGGATTGTTTCTGGCGTTTTCCCCTCATCATAATCACCCGCCTGCAGTCTGTCACTCTCAGTTTTTACCCAGTGGGTTTGGCATCCTCTTCACCAGGCGTTCAACCAGAAGTGACAGCAGCTTTCATCACGTATACCTTCCCTTTTTCTTAACAGTAAACCAGTGAAGAGCAAAGTGTGTATGTGTATGCACCCTCCAGCTTCCACTCTGATTCATGTGCTTCCCCTGTTTTTAATGGACGTCTCTGCTATCACCATGGAAACGGATAGCTTTTAGACAAGGGCTGGCAGGCGAGCAGTGTGGCTGTGCACAAAAGTAACTGTTAATGTTTCATGATGGTGATGTTTTATATCTTTGCGGTGGTGTATCTGTGAGTGCTTATAGAGGTCAATGCCACAGGTTAACTCGGGGCATCACTATGTCTATAATTCATTGACACACAGAGCTAACTTGAGTGTAAAAACATCAGACAGAATGACTCTTTTGCTTCTTTCTTTGCCCTCATTACTCCCTCCAGACGAGTAAAATGTATCTGGAGGGAGTAAATTAGAAGCCTTTCATCAGAAACTGCCTTCACTGTGCCTGAAGCAAAGGCTCTGAGCTGCTCGCTGTGTGGCAACAGAAGACTAGCTGCTGCAGTGAGAAAATAACTATCACTTTGGAGACATAAGATAATTAGGACAAAATGGAAACATTGAGCTAAGTATGTAGAACAAAGCTGAACTACTTGGAATCAGTGACGCTGTTTTTACTCAGTTCCACAGTTGTCTTAAATATTTATTCCTTCAATATCTCACATGGAACCAACATCGTGGTTGAGCTATGATCCAGACTAGCTAATTAAATGCCAATCCGGTTAAAAGGGCAGATCCAGGAATCACCTCCCTTAACTTTGCAAAATTATTCGACACAGAACATGCAGTCAGTAGAGTGCAGGCCTCCACAAAGGCCAGTGTCAAACAACATCCACCAGACTAAAGAGGAAAAATTTTAAATTCATATTAAATTATCTGGATTTGCCCAAAATGTAATGAGTTCTTCCCTGGCTCATGACCTATCCCTCCACCAGGTTTGGTGCAAATCAGTTTAGTACTCTTTGCGTAATCCAGCTGACAAACAAACAGGTCACAGGACACAGGTGAAAACATAACCTCCTTGCAGAGGTAATAATGTTTGGATCTTGATGTAAAAACTCAAACGTATTTATTATGTTGAGATCTATGACCTTGTACAATTTGGCGCAGATCCAGATTGTTATCTGGATCTGTTTGGCCGTGGTGGAGGTACGCGTGCCATTCTAGTAATGTAATGGAAATGAAACCTTTGCACTCTTTCAGTATCTTAACAATCATAAAATTGGTCACTGGACTTCTTCCTTTTCACTCACTGAAAGTCATTTTCAATTACAGCCACAGCTGAATGTCTGAAGAGTCCTTATGCAATGAAAACACTGATGATTTTTGATACTCCATGTTTTCCTTGAGGGTATAAATGAATTCAGGTCGAGAAAATGTGAGAACAGACTTTATGTGAAGTGATGAACGCTCAAAAATGTACCCTTTCCACCAAAAACCGGATTCTAATCTGTCAAAATAATAACAATATGATTTTCTTTGCATATCTTTCATCCCAAGAACAAATGAAGTTTGATTCCAACATATTGTTCGCTGAGATGGACAAATGCTCTAGCTGTCATACTCCTGTTCCTGGAAAGTCTGGAAAACAAAACTGATAAAGAGATTTCAATATAAAGTGACATTTTTGGCGTGCATTTTTTTAATGGATGCAATGTGTCCTGCCTCTCTAAGAAACCAAAGAAAGGGAAAAACAGTTTTAATTTAAAAAAAAAAAAAAGGCAAAATATCTATTTATGTTATTGAAATAATTCATGTGCTCTAATTTCATTTTAGCTCAGGTGAGAGTCTCTACTGTGTTTTGCTGCCACTTACAGTCATGTTTCTCCCTCCCACCCCCAAAGCAGTCAACCTAGGGGAAACACTGATATGTAAAATAACTCACTGCTCTCAACAATACATTTTATGGTTAAATCAACCTTACTACACTTATATTGTTAATAACTCACACTGGGACATAATGGGCCTGTATGATATTATTATTATTATGTGTGTTATTCCTGTGGGGCCCGTGGAAAATTCCATTCCTACTCTCAATTGATATTTCCCTAAAAAACATGTTTATTTCTCCCTCCTCTCTGTCTGGCTCCACCACCTGCCAGGATGATTGACAGATTTACTGACTACTAAACTGACTGACTCATCTGCTGACTGCCTGGTTCAACGTGTGGCTTGTTTACTGAATGGGTGGCTCACAAAGCTAACATACTGGCTAAATGATAGGCTGGATTGATTATTTGTCTGTGTAGCTAATGGCTGTTTTTTTTAATCTGCAATGATGTCTGCTGGCTGATTTTGTAAATGGACTTCCTGCCTAATTGAATTAATCATATTCAGTGTTACTGTGTAAATGAGTGGACTGCCTGGTGACATCTGTTAGTCTGGCTGGAAACACAAAAGAGAACAAAAAAACCCAGATGAATCCAGGGGGAAGAAGCAAAGTGAAAAGGAGAAAGGAAACAAAGAGGGAAGAAAAGGGAAGGAAAGAAAGCGTGAAAGTGGATAAGGAAGTTGAAGAACAGAGAGAGAGAAGTTGGATGTGTAATGAGCAAAGTGAGTGTGATGGTGAAGTGTCTACTCTCATCAGCGCTCAGTCTGTGCCGTCCACATGGTGTTTTGGCAAGTAGGTGTTTCTGAGAGGTCCAGAAGGGACAAGCAAAGTGTGCATGTGCGCCTGTGGACCTCGCGTGATTGTTGAGGTGAAGTCTGCTCATGTGTCAGACGAGCTGCCACACACTTCTATGCCCTTATAAGGAGAGTGTCCCTGTGGGGCCTCCATCCATCCATCCATCCATCCATCCACCCACAGCATCCCACCTCTTTTTCCCCTCACCCTGTTGCCGTGCAGGTTCCACAGCGGAGGGATGGGGTCAACACAGATGGATGTACTGTGACAGATGGACAGATGGGAAGAAGACAAACTGTGTGTGTGTAGTCTTAAATGTCTGACATGAGAGTTCGGATAGTTTATATTATCTACAAGACAAGTATACTGTAAATGGCAATCTGCTGTTAAGCGCTAATTGGTGGATCTGCAGTAAATGGAACATTTGCTCGTGTGTGGCAACATTTAAACATAGTACAGTGTATGAACAATGCTTCCCGTAACCTAGTAGATTCAGTTCATGTGAGTGAGTTTACTCTGTGTGTGTGTGTGTGTGTGTGTGTGTGTGTGTGTGTGTGTGTGTGTGTGTGTGTGTGTGTGTGTGTGTGTGTGTGTGTGTGTGTGTTTTATGGACTACAGAGAAGAGCTAGACTGGCAGGTATGTTGGCAAATATCAGCTTATTGCAGATATATTGGTATCTGTGATTAAATGACATTAAATAACATTGCTCTAAAATGTCCCACTTAGTTTGCATCTTGGTCAGCATCAAGGTTGTTGTTTATGTGCTTATGCTAGAAATAAAAGATACTATCGGCTGATATATTGGTACATATATTGTATGTATCGGCCTCGAAAACCCAGTATCAGTCAGGCTATGCTACTGAGGACAGCTGCAAGAGAATGCATTGTTAACTTATCAAGAAAACCAATGTTTTATTTTCAGGTAACAGAAGTTGTTCTTGTATTCAGAGATTTCTAGCCACAAAGCTACTGGTCAGACAAAAATGAGCCACAGCACCAGGGGACATAAAACATTAATATTTCAAGCCACAACACAACAGGCAGTAAGATGTGACCACAGGGCAACAGAAGAACTCAGCGCTATTACAACTAACTGCTTTTTTCTAGTCAGGGCTCTTTATAATTTAAAACTACTAAGCTGGCCATTGTAGTACTGTGCACTGTGTCTGGACTACAACTCCAGGCTGCCGTGTATAATGATAGGCTGCCCTGCTGATGGTCACATTACATCCAGTGTCTCAGTTTCCTAAGTTCCACACTAACAGGTTTTGTGGGCAGCACTGAGCAGACATTTGCCAGCTGAAAACTTAAATTGTTGCAGATTTGGTGCAGTAACTGGCTCTAACTACAATAATTTCACTTACCTGTTGTACCAGGTGCAACTAGATCATTTACAGTTGAAGAGTTCGATCTCACATTAAGAAAGCAGCCATTACAGAATGACTTGAGAGCACAAAATCAAAACAAATTAGTTCAGATTTTTAAATGCTGCTTATTTTTTAGGTTGATAAAATATAACTTACTTCTACATTTGAAAGATATGAATCTGAATAACGAGCTTCAGATAATCCTGTTGGTATTTTCTTCTTCGGTTGGCCAATAAATGTCACATTGAATGTGCCCTCACTTTGTTTTTGACAGAATATGATAGCGCCATCTTTTTTTTTCTAAATATATTTTCTACTGTCACCTGGGAGGGAGTTACGTTACAGTGCATACCCAGTGACCATTAGCAGCCACAGCTTGTCACGGGACATTTAATACTCCAGTGAATGTGCAGCAGGCACAAGCTTAATCAGCATTATTTTGGATATAACAGACAAGGGTTTTGATTTCACTGTTGAATAATTCAGTGGTGTGTTCGGTGATGGCAGGAGGGTTGTATTTGTTTGCTCAATGCTTGTATGTCGGGAGAAAAGCTGGTTAATGTGGAAACTTGACACTGTACCTGACAGACGTGTGATGTGCACGTGTGGGCGGACACACACACACACACACACACACACACCCACAGGTTTTTAAAACATGCAAACATTAATTTAACACAAATTCTTCTTTTCTCTCCTGTTTCAGAGACAAAGAGAAAGCGGATGATATAGACAGCAACCCGAGGTCCTCCACCAGAGAAGGTACATGACTCACACATACCTGTATACACACACACCCTTAACAAAACAGTTTTTCAAGCTCCTGTAGTCATTCTGTTTGAATAAGACCACACTCTAAGCTGCCACTGAGGCACATCAGCCCTTGCAACAATGCTGTGGTTTAGATGATTACAGAAGGGATTAGCCTGCACTTGTTGTATTGAGCCAAAAACTTTCTCTCTCTGACGCTGTTGAACGGTTTGTCCTCAGGGCTGTTAGAGAGAAACACTGAACGTTCAGTTGGTTCTGATGTAGGCAGGAGGAAAAGTTACCTTTTTATGCCTCAAAGATATCCACATCACAATGTTAAGGTTTGATACAAGTTTGTTACTCGCCCTCAATTATGCATAACTTTAAGCCTCAATGAAATTTAAATGGGTGAGTTGTACGTACAGTTGTCATGAAGGAGGAAATTAGCTATAGAGACCAAAACTGTTTTTTGTACCAAGCTGTAAACATGCTTATTTCTTCTGTAAAGTCGAGCATCTTAACATGGCAGTTTATGTGAGTCTTTTGGAGCCAGACTCAAGTGGCCATTTGAAGAACTGCAGTTTGTGATACCTCCATGTTGGCTTCAGCCCCGAAGGTTACTGCTTGCAAATAGCACATCAAACTGGTAAACGACAGAGATTGTGCAATGATCATGACAAATGAAGCATATGTGAGCAGTTTTCTAGGTTGGTCATGTTTACAGCAGCAGCTCTGTGCAGCAGAAAAGAGAACAAGATGTGAAGTAATAAGGAACTAATGAAGTTTCATGAAATTACAATGCACTTTCAAGTAAATTCCAGCTTTGAGATCAGCTGTAGGTCTTTTCTGTGGGTAAGAACAATTCAGTTTGGCTCTGGTTTCTCTTTTGTGAAAAAAAACAAAAAACAGGTTCATTAAAGGAGGAGCCCTGTGGAGTTTTCCTGCAAACAAACAAAAGTTCTGTTTATGTTCAGTGTTTCTTCCCAAAATGCAATGTGTGTATCCTGGAGGTCTAACAAACATGTTGTGTTCTCATTAAAACACTTGCAAAGGCCATTTTTTAAATACTATAAATCATGACTTGTTTACATCCATGTTTGCCAGCTTGTTTCTTTACTGCCTTACTGAACCATAGTGATGCTGGCAGTCAAAAACTCAAAGGCTACCTTAAATCAGCTTCAAGGAGAACTGGATCTCACTAGTTGAAAGAAATCCTGGTTTGTGGTATTTGATCATTTCGATTTTTCTCTGACCTTTTTATAAAAGCCAAATGTCAAACCTTGCAATAATACAACATGTCAAAATACATATACAGTTCTATAAATCATTTGATTTGTCTCTTTGCTCAGACCACGACTTCTCCCTCAACAGAGGTTGTTTCAGACTCCGAGACGGCAAAGAAAGGCAATTTAAATGTGGCACTCATTTTGGTGCTTTAAATGCATAGAGTTTGCTTTAATTATAAAGCACAAATAGGCTTCAGACTGCGACACGGGCTCACAGGCACATTTCACAGGCAAGAGGAATATTTAAATTGAGATTAAAGGAGGACAGTGGAGGTGTTGAGGGAGTTTCTGTCACTGAGAAAGACTCAAGTGTAGTGAAACGGCAGATCATTGATCAATACCAACATGTTGACTGACAGGTTAATGTAGAGTTCCTCAGTCACGTGAGTCTGTGACGTTGGCGTCAACGCCATGTGGGGCGTCTGGAGGGACATCAGTTACAAATAGATTATGTAATTCCAGGGAGTTTTTTCTTTCAGAAGAAGAGAGGTTTCACTGCAACTTCTTTTATTTTAATTCAGACTTCTTGTTAATAGCATAAAGGGGAAATACCTTTTGTTTCCAACATCTACTTCTTTAAGGGTTTAAGTTGCACCCTCAGCAAATTGTCCACAAAAAGATATTACTTTATTGTATACGTGCTTACTATATGTGCTATTTCCTTTTTTAATTTAACCCATGTCAGATGATGGTAAATCTTATGGAAAAGAGGAAAGTCAAAGTTTCCACACTTTCAGTCCAGGCTGTATAGATAAGTGGTTGTGAAAGAGGAACCGAGCACACGAGAAAACGCTTTGCATAATTTTTCCTTCCCTGTCAGGAATTACGATTTAAGGGTAAAGATGGGAACGTCTCGTGTATCAGAGAGCAGCGAATGGTTCTGTGAAGCAGATGCAAAAGTTTCATCTCCAGTGCAAATAATGTTCATAGTCCTACAAACTGTAATATGGAGCAGCTTACTGTTCGTATAATGTGCATTCACCCTGCATTTGTGTTGTCGTAGTCCCTTCTAGATACTCTCTTCAAAGTCTTCAGTCTGCATCTATAATCCCATGCACATTACTGCTGAACCATTGAACTACACAGAATTACATAAGTACTAAATGAAGTTAAGTTTCAGGTCTCTCTGCTCACTCATGCTCGGTCACTCCTGCTGCTCTCAGGTCTCTGTTGTCCTCTCACTCTTTTTTTCTTTTTGATGAGTCAGTATTTGAAAGTTAATAACTTTTAAATTAAATTCAGCATCCCGATCTCCTGACCTGTGTTCAACTCGTCGGGTCAAGAGGAAGGTTTTGAAGCCGGGGGTCAGGTGATGCGCTTTAAGCCATTCAGACATTGCATGAGTGTCGGTTTCAGCCTGCGCATCACAAAGCGTATTACTAACAGATTTGTGAGCAGGATTATCAAGATGGAACAAAACATTATTCATAACTCGGCCTTTAACTTCGATGATTAGCGTGTCTGTGAATGTTTCATGTATCTGGCAGCAAGAGACGGGGTTGAACCTCATCCGACACTGTTAAAATCCAATTAGTCTCATTTCAGAGACCTAATACCAAGTCTCGTCTTTCGTTGTTTACTATAGACCTTTTAATAACATTCATTTTGGCTGCAGTCCATTCAGATGTGTCAGTTCTTAGACACCAAATGGAACTTAGCCTTTGTTAATATTATTATCTGTGCTGGTCCTGCTGTGACAAGTGACAAATCTGTTGTGAGAAAAGCATTGACCTTACAGATTACCGTGTAAGGTCAATGCAAAAAAGAGTCTTTTGCTCCAGTTAGCTAGAATTATTATAACAGCAACAAACCACATATGGTGCTTTGACTCAAGTAAATAAACAGGCAGGAACAGGAGGACAGACTGTGGATAGTTATATATGCACATTTTTACACTGTTTTTTATCATGTTTTGTATCTTTTACTCAATTAGCATAAATAGGCTGGGGGGGGGGGGGTTAAGTTCTCTCAGACAGAAACCACTCTCATTATTTTGTCTCTCTGTTTCTGCTACTGTGCATTCCTCCAAGTGTACGTTATATTTTCAGCTTGTTTAGAGCGGAGCCCTGCTGGTTGTTTGTTTCATTTACACCCCGGCTTCTTGAGACACTAGAAATAGTAGAGAAAGCTGCAGGATCTGCTTTGTTTACCTCAGATGGGAAATAAAGCACACACTTAACTTCGAGTTTACTGTCACTGGATATTATCGCAGGCTTGAATTTGCTTCATTGGCCTATTTCACATGCTTGAAATTCTGGTTAGATTATGTGTAAATTAGGTTTTTGCACTGTTGAGTCTTTGTTTTTTTCTCTCTGCTTCTTTTCTTACATCTTACACAAGCTGGAAACTTCATTTTTCTATTGCCCACTCTTTACAAGCTGTGGAGGCAGATGTCACAGATGTTTTGCTCTGCTCAAAGAGTTGCTCTGAATCATTGCTTTCTTTGCGAACAGTAGCTGTAACATACCAGAATGCAATGCAGCTACATTTCGAGTGACATCACCACAATAGACATTCCCCAGTGTTCACAAACCAGCTGGTTCAGTAGCTATGTTAATATGGACATGCACGCGCAGACACACACATACACATACTACTGTACACACACACACACACACACACACACACCCCAATGACTCAAAGCCATAAATCTGTTCTCTGAGGTTGTCAAGAGCGACTGTGGTGTAAATGACAAATTAATGATAACAAAAAGTATATGACTACATGAGACATTTACCTTGAGGGCATCTCTTAAAATGATGTGTTTTCCTTCATGATAAACTTTCTGTTATCAATGAAATAATCCTGAAAGTGCCTTGGATGAACCAAGTATTAGTTTTCACCGGACCTTTATTGTACCTTGGTCTGTGGTCTCTCATAAAAAGAAACTCCCTCAGATGTTGAAGTCATTGCGTAGGTGTCTGATAGACCTGGCTGTCAGGTTTAATGGTTAACTTGCACCTGAGGGAAGCATATCCACGGATATCCACGGTTTGGCTGGAGATGAAGGTGACTGAGTCTGTTGAGGAACTTGTTGTAGCCGCAGGTTAAGATTCACCTAGATAAAATATGGTTGCTGCAGCAGCACATGTACCAACATGACACCATTACAGCACAACTTTAATCCTTGTCAGTGAAACGTAAAAACAAGCCAGCGCTGCCCCCTGCTGCTGCACTTCTGTATTTAATCATGATTGTTTTGTAGTTGAATGAAATTGATAGTCAGACACATAATAAGGTTTTTAATTTCCCCAGAATGAAAGTTGTTACTGTGGGATCAGTATGCAGACTGTCTTTATCTGGACTGTCACATATGTATGAATTTATGAGGAAAGATGAGGAAGGAAAACCATGATTGAAAATCAGCTCGCCGGAGGCTGTTCAGATAAATGCAGTGTGATTATCATGTGCACACTGCAGCACAGTGTCTCTTTTGTTGTCACTTCACACTCTGACTTAAGTTTAGGGGAAATTGTGTGTGTGTGTGTGTGTGTGTGTGTGTGTGTGTGTGTGTGTGTGTGTGTGTGTGTGTGTGTGTGTGTGTGTGTGTGTGTGTTTGTGTGTTTGTGTAAAACAGGAAAAGACTGTGCTTTTATAGTTTCTCTGCACAGGATCAATTTGCAAATATAGATTTATTTGCATGTCTTCTCTAAAAAAAACAATGATTTTAAAGACTAGTTTGTAGTTGTTTTTTTTTTTTTAAAACAACTTTGTTTCCCACCCTATGTCACATCTGCATAAATCTTTTGAACCCAGAAAGGTTATACTATTCCCACTTGCATCCCCATGACATACTGTGACGTGCTCCCTTTTACCGTAATCCTGGCCTCATATCTATTGTAAGTTTAAGGCCTGCTGTGATTACAGAGTGTGTGACCACCCTCGGAGGCTGGGGAGGTAGACTTTTCCCCAGGAAATTGCTACCTACCTTCTGCCTTTTGCCTTCAATAAAGCCTTTATAGTGTGGAACTGCCATTTAGGACCACATCGCTGTGTTTGGTCCCGTTTAGAAAGGCCTGAATCCAAAAGAGCAGAGAAGCTGGTTCAGAACCTCAGGAAGGAAATTTCGCTTTTTCAGCCTCTTTACTGACCAGGAAACACACACACACACACACACACACACACACACACACACACACACACACACACACACACACACACACACACACACCACATACACACTCACAGCTGCACAATGCATTTTAAATGACAAAGATTTCATGTTGTCTTTATAACTAAATGTCTGCTGCGTGTGCACACTTTCTGATAAATACACACACATCAATAATAATTAGAAAATACTTCATTTCCTCTTCAGTTTCATTTGCATGAAATGAAGTGAGATTATTTTAAGAGATGATATCATTGATTGAAGGAAATTGACCTCACACAGTTAGTTAAGTAATCAATTAGTCAATGGACAGAAAAATAATCAACAAAAATTAATCTGAAAGTAATTTTTTAAATCTAAAAGTGCCAAAAATTCTTTATTAGATGTAAATACTTGCTGGTTTTCTTGGCCTTCTATTAAATCAAACTGAATATCTTTGGGGAACTGTTGGTCAAAATAACTCTACTTTCACTTGCATCTATAAATCAAACTTTTTCTGCAATATAATTGCACATAATGAGTCCCCTAACCATGCTCCACTGTTTAGTCATAATTGAATTCAGTCTAAACTGAATTTCTGTTGCATCTAAAATGCAATTGAAAGCATCAGTTGAACACTTTGACGTGTGGTTGGATATAAATGTCTGTGAGATGGGTCAGAAATACACACACCTCATTAACAATGAGCATAGCATAGTATTCAGGACAGCTGCACTAACCTGGGCTGAAACCATAAAAGGCATCACTGAGAACAAACAGAAAGCCCCAAGTTATCATTGACTCTGTTGTGACAAGTACAAAGTTAGCTCCACATTGGATGTATTATGTGCAAAATGTCCATGTATTCATGTGTTTTTTGTGTGTTGTGTTTTTTACCGTTGTATTTTGACCATCAGGTTTGCTGGAATGGGTAACCTGCTAAAAGTCCTAACAAGGGAAATAGAGAACTATCCACACTTTTTCCTGGACTTTGAAAGTAAGTCTGGCCGAGGAGTGGAACAAAGGGACAAAAGATAGATGGAGGAAGAGATGTGGGGAGGTGGGGGAGGTGGGGTGAGGGGCTCAGCTGTTTCCTTTCTGTCAGCAGGTCTCTGCTCCCGATGATGAAGCCATGAAGGAGTCTGCTTTTGCTCCTGTCTTCTGTCCTTTTGCTTTTTTTCCCAAACCCCTTTTCTTTTTCTTCCACTCAGTCGCGACCTCCTGCTGTTTCAGCTCTGATCTCCCATCTCTGTTCAAATAACTTTTTTTTTTAATGACTTTTTAACATCACACATACTTTTCTTCCTTTCTCTTTCTTTCTTTTTTTCTCTCTCTCTTGCAGAAACCAAATGGGGAATCTGTTAAAAGTGCTCACTTGCACAGAGCTTGAACAAGGGCCAAACTTTTTCCTTGACTTTGAAAGTGAGAACAGCTTACGCCTGTCCTTCTGCTAGGTTAACCCCTCCCCTCCTTATCCTAAAATTCATTTTTCCTTTGAGCTCTCTCTGGCCGCTCTGACTGGTCAGGGGTCAGCCCATTCAGCTATTGAATTGCCAACCTCTCTCCTTTGAATTTCTAACGCTGCCTCTGAAGGCTGTTATTATAATTCCTGATTGATTACAGTACGGTTTTAAGATCTATTCTCTGCATGCTGAAGTTGAAGAAGAATGGAGCTGACCCTTGACCTTTTTTTTGCTGTCTGCTTTTACTAACTTGTCTGCATGCATGACCCCGTAGGTTCACTTACAATAAGACACATTTGATGCATATGTATGTGGCATAATGTAACTATTAACACATTATTGATCAGGTCCCATTTATACTGTATTAATCCATGTTTTATCCAGTTTCTCTTCCTGCATAATCTTGTTACCATTTAATGATATAACCAGCATTATTTCCACATTTCATTTCTGCAGCGAAACATTAACTCAGCTTCATTACTGCTGCTACACACAAAAAAGACAGTTTAGCTCATTTTTTTAACACAGCAAATAAATCTGCTTTGGTGTTTTTTTTCCTCCCACTGGGGGGAAAAAAACAACACAATAACGCCTCCACCATGGCATTTCAGCCGCACTCACAACGTAGCCGAACCTCAGGCTTTGTTTATTCAGCAAAGAGGAAATGATGGGAGTAGAAGGGTTTTGAAATGCAAAACAGACCCCAGACACAGAGTTTTAATGTCAGTGATGCTCTATATTTAGAGCTGCTGCTGTAGACTTTGACGCTCTGTGGTCATGATAGCCGAAGCCTGTATTCTGAGAGTCTCAGTTGCCGGTAGACACCTTTTTAAATTAGAATTAAGTGTTGTGCTCACGTTATTATTACACAAAAACTGTTTCCCAATAGGTCAAGCAAACTGAGCTGACAACACATTTTTGGATTATTCAGAGCTATTTACAAATAATTGACTCCCTTCTTGAGGCGTATTTATAGTATTCTTGCTATAACCATGCAGGAAATATGAAACAAAACAGTCCACTTGCAGGTTGCAGGCATGGCAGAGCACAGTACTACTCCTCATTCATTCAATCATTCTTATGCAGTAAAATGCCATGAACACTGTTACTGATACTGTGTTCGTATTCATTAACAAGGTTCTAATGTGGCCCTATGCAGACCGCGTGCAAACACTAAAAGATAGTTCACAGTAGCAGAACATTTACAGTTTTCCAACATATACCGTTTATATCTCCCCACTAGTTCTCTAACTGTCAGCTTTCAAATATTGCTGCTTTGAAATGCTCTCAGAAATCAGATTTTCTTTTGTGTTTGTGTTTTAACAGGGAACACAAGTTCTTTCAAAGCTTTAGGCAGGATGCAGTAAATGCATCCTGCTCCAGTGTAATTAGTTACAGAGATGTGTATGTTTTGGATACATGATTATGAAGCTGATCTGGATCCCTTAAGTCTACAGCAGAGTTCTCTTAATTCTTAGGTGGTTAGTTCCAGTTCTTTCAGTGTAGTTATCTTTTAGCAGATGCATAGAGTTTGGGTTTTGCATTTCAAATTAAAAGCATCACTCTCGGTGCTCAAGGCAGCAAATTTTGGCGGCTGACTGTTAATGGACTCGTATGTGTTGATATACTGTACTACAGTATATGTGCCACAAGCTGGAAATGTTGACTGAAGTGAAATAATGTTTTTAGCTTTGGCCCACACACACAGTTCATTGTGCTGAACGTTTTTGTTCTTTCTCTCTTGTGCACTCGTCTTCTAATCAACAGCTCTTCAAATAGAAATGAACAAAAATGAACTAGTTAACTTTTAGTGGCAAAAACGTTCAGCACACATGCCTGTGTTCTCCCAGTGAGTGTTTCATCATGATTAAAAGTACTGTCGTTATTACTTGTGTAAGTAAAGCCATTTCACATCAATGAGTTAAACTGCAAGTTAATTGTAAGTTAAATATTTGTGCAATTACAAGTCACTCCGAGCTGATCGTTGATGTGAAAAGGCAAGAATTAATACATGTGTTTGCATTGTCAGACAGCTAGCTAGCTTAGCTACCTGTTGTGATGGTTTGTGTTTGTATGGACATGTTCGTCTGTTAGATGCACAGCCGACAGAAGGAGAGCGAGAGGTGTGGAACCAGGTGAACTCAGTCCTCCAGGACTCGGAGAGCATCCTGTCTGGCCTGCAGGCATACAAAGGAGCCGGCCAGGAGATCAGAGATGTGAGGAACACACACACACACACACACACGCATGCACAAACAAGAAACACTGTACATGTCTTGCCATAAGTAAATAAAATATACAAGCTCTGAGCAGGGAGGTAGACCTGTCTTCAAATCCATTTTTTATTCTTTCCCCTTCAACAGCAGCCAGTGTGAACATTTCTGCTGTAACATCTGATGAACTATTTGCAGAAAAAGGAGAGAAAACAAAAGCTGAACTACACTGAAACAGCAGAACAAACTAGTTCAATCCTCTCCACAGATGCTGATGGTCAGTTTGACACTAATGATGGATGTTTTCTGCTGTTTTCTTGTTCGGTCCAGGCCATTCAAAACCCCAACGACCTCATGCTGCAGGAGCGAGCCTGGAACTCCGTCTGCCCACTCGTCATCAAACTCAAGAAGTTCTACAGTTTCTCTCTGAGACTAGGTGTGGTCACAGCAGAGAGCAAAATGTCTCGTCTTATCCCTCTGCATTTTTAGTGCCAGGATTATCATTTCTTTTTTTGAATATGTCATGTTATAGCGAAAACATATTTAATCTTAATGAGTCCGGGCTAAATAATGGTAAAATAGTACTTGTATGACATATCTTATTTTGAAAGTTTTGACTTCCATCACACCATGTTGTCTTTAAATTGGTAATCTTTTATTTTGAAAATGCCCATTAAATCCTGCAACTTATAATAAACATGTAGGCTACACGGTCACTCACTTAAAAACTCATCTCAGATTGTATTAACATAGGGTTTGCATGATGGCTGGTATGAAGTAATTACAGTACAGTTTTAGTTAGCTTAACTAATAGGATATGTGAAATCTTGTCTTGTAATACAAAAAGTCCATGATGGGGAACTACAGAAACTAAAATCGTGTCCTATAACAAAATAAGTTCACCACAGAATGAAGTGTTCAGTTCTCTGCTTCTCTTCTGTATAAAATGTGACTGTGTAAATAAATTCTGAGCTGGAAGATTTCTGGGACTTAAAGGAGAGGCCAAACATCTACACAGCTGCTGACATCTTGTGTGTGTCTGTGTGTGTGTGTCTGTGTGTGTCTGTGTGTGTCTGTGTGTGTGTGTCTGCAGAAGAGGCTCTGCAGAGTTTATTGGAGTGCCTGACATGTCCGCCCTTCACACCCACTCAGCACCTGGAGAGGGAGCAGGCTCTGGCCAAACAGTTTGCAGAGATCCTCCACTTCACTCTGCGCTTCGATGAGCTCAAGGTCTGCTGGAAACACTGAGTGGTTCATCTCAGGAACACACACACACACACAGTCTCAGCCACTCTTCCCATATTACTTCAGATAGTGACACACAGCATACTTGTGTGAACTAATGTGTTGGTTCTGTTTAGTCAACAATAGAGGCTTAATGTGTTGTTGTCCTGTTTTCTTGTTTCCCTTCAGATGAGAATTCCTGCCATTCAGAACGACTTCAGCTACTACAGAAGAACCATCAGCCGAAACCGGATAAACAACATGAATGTGAGTTGTGCACAAATTATATATAGATGAGATCAACATTACATGGCACCAGAGTGACAGCCATCTTTTTCCTGTGGTTTTCAGATCCACATATTTATATCTAACAGCAGGCTTTGATATTTCTATATTTAGTACCTGCAGTGCTTTCTCTGCCTAAAACAGGAAACAGTTTTAAAGTGACATAAGAAAAGACCGTGTTCACTGTGTTTTGATGGGTCCCTTACGTCACATCAGAAATCACAAATAGGCCAAACTGATCACATTGGAGGTGCTAAAGTATTAAAAATGGAATTGATGTGAAAATGTTATAACTCCCCCTCCAGCAGTGCAGGGCCGCTGCCTCTGTTCAGTGAATATAAAACAGATTCTTGTGCATTCGAAAATGGAAAAAACTAAATGAACGAATGCATGTTGTTTGTTTCTGCACCTGAAGTTGGACATTGAGAGTGAAGTCAACAATGAGATGGCCAACAGGATGTCTCTGTTCTACGCTGAGGCTACGCCCATGCTGAAAACACTCAGCAACGCAACCACAAACTTTGTGACAGAGGTGAGAATGAAACCCGTTATCACTGTTGTTACTCTCACTGTGACAAATTCTGTCGTATGTTTACTTCATAAAAACGTGAGCTATTTTCTCCTTTGCTCGAACTTGGCATGTCATACAAACATGATCTAATTGTATCTAATATTTGTTGCATTCATAATTGTCACAATGCTGCAGCTCTGACGCAGCCATTTTAATTGAATAAATCAAACTAATACCAAAATACAGATGAAGAAATATCAGTGAGACCTGGTCTGACCTTCAAAATGATTTACACACATCTACGCTGATCTACTCTGTCAAAGCAGGATGATTTAAAGAATGTATGTAATTTTTTTAATGATTCATGTTTAAAGTCATTAAAGTGATTGGTAATAACATCTGGTTTGTTTGTTCTGTAGAACAAGACTCTTCCACTGGAGAACACGACGGACTGTCTCAGCACCATGGCCAGTGTCTGTAAAGTCATGCTGGAGACACCGTGAGTTACAACGCTTTGCTACGCATGCGCGCACACACACACACACACACACACACACACACACACACTCATAAGTTTTCTTGGAGGCCTTGAAAAAGCTCTGCAGTTTGTAGATTGAAAGCAAGTTGAGTTGTCTCACATACATTCACCAATAATATATTGAGATTGTCTGTATTGATTGATTTTAGAAAAAAAAAGAACTTTTTTTTTTTAAATCACTGGCTCTCAGTTTACACCCACGTTTTTCAACGGCCTGAATCAGTTCGCGTGGCATTGCACACATTTGCTAATAGGTCTGGAACCTCTCTGTTCATTTTTGATTTCATTAGATGTTATCAACAATCACAGACCAAAATGTCTCTGCACCTACAAGCAATCAGAGCAATGAAACATGTGACGTAGCGATCAGTAGGTAAATTAAGCTTTTATCTGTCAGTAGTATAGCAGGCACATCTTTCTTATCAACAAACACTGTCAGCGCAGTTGTTTGTTCTTCTTTTAGAGATATTACACCGTCCAGCTTGTTTAATACTGTCATGATAACGGATTCAACGGACCTGTCCACATCAGCGGCAGCCATCTTGGTTGTTGCTGCTTCAGCGGCGCTCCTCTGTCAGTCATTGTATTAAACCCGTCCCATTTTTGATAAATGGTTGGGATCATTTCAACCTGTCAGGACGGATGGAAATCCGCCTTGAACAGGAGGGGTGCCAGACACATCTGCGAAAGCAAATAAAACTATAAATCATTTCTAGATCTTTTCCTCTTCTGATCCTCTCTCTCTCTCTCTCTTTCTCTCTCTCTCTCTGTCTCTGTGTGTTTCTGCATTGTCAGGGAATATTCGAGTCGTTTCAGCAGCGAGGACACACTCTTGTTTTGCATGAGGGTCATGGTCGGGGTCATCATTCTTTACGATCACGTTCACCCCAACGGCGCCTTCAACAAGTCCTCTAAGATAGACGTAAGACACACACACACACGCACGCACACACACACACATCTGATCTAAGCTGCACAGATCATGTAACAGCAGCACTTCACACCATCATGGATCTGTTCTGTGATGCAGCTCTTGAGCTTCTGTGCTCTCATTCTGACTCTGTTCATTTCCTCTCAGATGAAAGGCTGCATAAAAGTCCTGAAGGACCAGCCGGCGGACAACGTAGAAGGCCTCCTGAACGCCCTCAAGTAGGTTACACTCACTCTGTTTAAATGCGGCTATAGAGAACAGTTGTGCTAATGGCCTCCTAATGCACTGTTTATTATTTATGTCTCTTCAGATTCACCACAAAACACCTGAATGACGAGTCCACTCCGAAGAACATCCGGACGATGCTCCAGTAATATTTGCTCTTTTTTTAAAGAAAAAAAAATATATAAATAGATATGAAGAGGATCAATGCTCTGACCTCAAATAAGATGTATATGTTTACATTATTTAAAAAGACTCGATGTTAATACTTGTGTGTATTTACATAGTCATTCCCTCCAAGTTATTGAAACCTGCAGAACAAGTACCTTGTACTTTGCAAAAAAAAAAAAAAAAAAAAGCATCACATGAATTGCCTCTACTGTTAACAGCTGTCGAAGCACAAATGATGGATTTGTCAGCCTTATACTATAAATGAGCTTTACAAACAGCACTTGGAACTAAATCACCAAGGCAGCATAAAAATGTCCTTCAACAAATCTTTTATTTGACAATGGAATTAGTTTAGTGAACAGATTTTAGTTTAATTCAACTTTTTTGAATCGAAATGAAACTTTTATTTCATTTTTTTTTGAAACGGAGAAATTAAATTCTGACACAGGTTCTCATTTTTTTTATCACAAAAAAATCAACATGAAGAACAAGTGAAGTCATATCATCCTGTGTTTTCACTTGATCAACAAAGTATGAGATTTAATGACAATATGAAATCAATCAATGTTAAGTGGACATTTCTGTTGCAGTGAAGGGCTAAATACCGAAAGCAGGTAAGGGATTGATTGGTTTGATGAATTGGTTGAACATTGAACATTTGGGTGTTTTCTCTTCTTTTTTTTTCTTTTTTTTTATAGTCAGCTGTTGTATTTTGTCCTTTGTTCTTTTCAAACTCCAGCCTTGTGCATCTGATAAAAATAAATCCACTGTGAACGTAAAAACATACTTTGCACATTCAGTGAGATCCAGTTTGTCAAAGTTTGCTTTAACTTCGAGGTTTTGCTGATTGAAAATGTCGTGATAATGAATCACAAAATCAAATCAACCAACCAAATGTTTTATTTAACTGTTTTGTGGTGATGCTCTGAATGATCGTTGTGTGTTTTGCCATGTTTTAAGTGACTTTTTTTGTGGCTTTTGTATTAGGAACAGAAAATCCATTTCCTTAAGAAGAAAAGCCCCAAAATGTCTTTATTCTAAATAAATGACATATGCTTCTTAAGTGAACAAGTTTTTTTTTTTTTTTTAAGATTTTTTTTTATCTCTTTCCTTAAAGCTTTGAATTCTGATTTTTTTTAAATCAGTTAGTCAGTGAAATAATTCTCCTCGTCTCCACTCGAGGGACAAATGTGACCAGGTTGATTTTTATATGAATTTTGATATTTCTCAACATGTTTAAAGCAACATTTCGAGTTTGCTAAGCCCTTGCAAACTCTGTTAATTGTCTTCTATACATCAATCCATGCCTCAGATCATTTCATGACCTAAAAACTCGTAGTGTGAAATAATGTACACCTCAAAATTTGCCTTAAATTCGACTGTTGAACTCAGAGGAATGACTCTAGACTTGAGCTTTTGACCTGCTGTGTGTCTGATCATTGTCACTTATCACAGAGGACTGTGTACTCCTAATTTCCTAGCTCATTTTACTAACATTACACCACAGACATTCCTGATTGTCCCTCGGCTCCTCCACATGCAGCAGCAGCAGCTCCTGACCTGCTAAAACTCACCTGCTCACATGGTCGGACAATCTCCTCATCTGTGTTGGTTTTACATTGTGTTCATTTAAATTGTGGTTCACGTTTTATGTTATCTGTATGAAGGTTAATGGATAAGAATAAGCTTGTCTTAAAGGATGCGACTATCAGTTGTAAAATCTACTTTTCCACTTTTTTCTGCTCAGATAACTTCTTCAACTTTACCATCTAATATATCACAATAATAACTCTGACTTACACCACCACCACCATCACCCCTGTGATCCTACTTTATGGAAATGTTACTGGCTCATCGTGGAGCACAGCATTGCCTTGAAGACAGAGCATAAGCTGACAAATAGTAGTTACTTGTAAAGACTATTTTTATTTTTCATCCACAACATAGACTTACTTTCATTTTATTCCATAAGCCACACATACTGCACTCTGTACCATATACACTCCTGCCCTTTGATTAACATGTCAACATTCATGATAATTAACATTAAATTAACATGTCAGGTATCTATCATTCATTTAAGTCTTGTTTATTTTTGATCCTCTTGTATTTAGTAATATATATGGGTGCGTGTGTGTGTGTGAGTGAATCATACTTTGAATGCAATGTTTTATATGCAATAAATGAAAACTTTACATGGATGAGACTTAAAGTGAGGTGTACGTATGATATTTCATATCTGACTGAAGTGGTTTTTTTAAAAAATAAAAATCACATCCTCTGTCATGATTGATGTACACGAAGCTTCCCTCTTCGCCCAGAATATGCTACTGTGTGTTGAATGCAAGATGTTGTTTTGAAGACTGAGACAAAATCTTTTTTCTTTTTTTTTCTTTTTTTTTTGTCTTAAACTGACAGTTACTGTTTAATATTTTTGGATTTCAGACTCAGTGTTTGTATAAATTGCTTTGGCTTTGTATTGCATTCTGAATGGGATGTGTGGATTGGATAATAAAGGTGGTACATTTCTTATACAGACTATGTTTCCATTGGCTCTCTTATTTACAATATGTGGTACACATAACAGGGGCCCACTCATCAAACTGCTCCGTAGCGCTGCTAGTAGTCGAAAACTCCCCAGGGTTCCTTTAAGAAATCTGTAAAAAGTTAGTAAAAACCAGCGCTGTTGTGTCTTTAAAGTAGCTCTTTGTAAGTTTGACCATTGCTACATGGCTACGTTAGCATTAAAAGTTGTTTACTCAACAGTCTTGAAGAAACTTTGCAACTTCAGTATCAAACTTCATTCCTTTATTCAAGAGCTGTCTCCAGTGGTGGAAAACAACGCCAGTACTAACTCTTGTTTCTATCACTTCTTCTTCTTCCCTGTACTGAAGTTAGCGTGGTAACCAGCTAGCCCCAGCACGTCTCATCACTTTCTGATAGCGAGTCACTGTAGTCACTTTTCTGCTCAGAGCGCATATTATAACCTCATAAATTATAAAGACAACAATGGCTGACAACGATCTTGTCAAGTGACAATCGGCACCACCTGCTCCCGGCAAGAAACCACGTTCAGCAGCAGAGAACACTCACAAACAGCCCCTTTAAATGTGAGACATCATGATTGAACAGAGCTTTAAAGATATTCAAGATGCAGTTGTAATACAACTATGAGGCTAGTAAAACTACTGAACTACAAAATACTGTCGCCTTCCAACAACAAAAACATTTATTCTTCATGAGTGATTTTTTTTCTTTTCAGTAGCTTTTTATTCCAAGTTTAAAGTTTTTTAAAATTGGAAATTATTAAGACCTTTCAAAAATAATTACATGTAAATACAAAATGTTCTTCATAAAATCTTCTCCATCCAGAGCTATTTACATAATAGCTTCCAAAGTAACTGCAGTAATGGAATCAATTACATGAGTAAAATATATTCAACTACATCTTCTGAAAAGCTTTGGTGTCCTGAAACTGTAGTTCTGATGTCTTCCTGATGGGGGTGATATACTTCCTTCTTCGTCATCGTGGGTGTGAAGCAGGCATGATCCACGGCTGAACCTTAAACAGTGGTGTACCTGGGATTGATTACACGTCATAAATCAGATCTCCAATTAAGTAGTAGTTAAAACAGTGCACATAACACATCAGAACCACTCAACCTGGTGTGTGGTCATATTACATCGAATACTGGAAATCTTTGATTTAAGCCTCCTGTAATGAACTATTTTTGAGTAAAATAAAGCTACATGCCTTTAATTTGAAGTATGCAAGAGTACATTGAAAATTTCAGCCTTTCCTTGCAGCTAACAGTTAAGCCTAATGAAGTTTTATTAGTGAAAGAAAACCACTAAAATGTATTTTCTAATGTAATAAATGAGTCAAATCTAAATGTGGAAGACAGAGTAAAACAACATTTCTAATAGGGGCACAAACTGCATTCAGTCTGTGATTTTCTTGCAGACTCAGCCATTTTTTAACCTATAATTTGTCCTGAATGCGTTTCTTGCTGTGTGATTACATCATATTCAGCCCAGAGGAGTGAAAGAGCAGCGATTTACTTACTGGGAGAGCTCCGGTGTGAGCGCTGCGACGCCCTGAGCGCCTCCACACTCAGCTGGGGCACCGCTGACCTCACCGGCCCTGGACGGATCCCAGCATTCCACTGGGCCAGGCGCAGCAGGCTCTTGGCGGTCTCCTTGGTGATGGGGTAGTCGCTACTGCGAGATGCCCATTGAGGCTGAGTTTGGGTCTGACAATGATGAGGATGAGGATGAGGATGATGATGAGGAGGGGGATGTTGGGGTCTGCAGTTGGAGCTGAGGAACATCTGAAGGAGGAGGACAAAGGTTCTCAGAGAACTGAGGTTATTTTTGATTACCATGTGTTCAGAAAAATAAAAATAAACTATATACAGGCATTGAAATAAATGTATGATGGTTTCTCCAAAGCCTGAATATTAAATGCCATGGTGTCCTCTATCTCACCCTTTCCTCCCCCGCTTCCTAAAACCCCATCATCAGCATAATTTGGTTTCCCCCTGTCACCTCCCTCTCTGAGCCGCTCATCATTAACATGCTTTTTCTGCGTAAACGCTGCTCCATAATGCATGACGCCTGCTGGTTGCACAGTCCCCTGAGAACCTTCCACGTTTACCCCCTCCCTTTGATTCAGACAAGGAGGTCACAGTCACAGCGGGGTTACGGTGGCGATGATGAATGGGAGCGTGGTTTTACCAGAGATTTGGCTTTGCGGAGTTTGTAATTCGCCTCAGATAGCGTTTTCTTGCTCCCGCCGTCTGGCTTCGGTGTGGTGCAGGTGGTAGCTGTGCTTTTCGTTTGCCTGCAGAGAGACGACTGAGTCAGTGAAGCAGGTGTAACATCAAGGTGAACTCTTCGGCGGATCTGCGTTCCTTTGAAAAAGAATATGACATATCTGTATTTTATTTCAATTGATTATATCAGCTTAACTGTCTCTGTTTTACCACGAGAAATTGTTTGTGCTATATGGTCATTACTTCATTGTCATTTACTTTATGTTTTCATCCATGTCTGTTTGTTTGTCAGCAGGATTAAACAAAAAGTACTGAACTGATTTGCACCGAACTTGGTGGAGGGATGGATATGGGGCCAGGGAAGAACCCAGTAAATGTTGGTATAGATTGGATCATTTACTATGAATTAGATTTTCTTTTTCTCTGAAGTCTGGTGTATGTTGTTTGACATTGTCCTTGTCTGCGCTCTCAAAGGGTCTATGGGGTTTTAGCCAAAGTGAACCATTCTTTTAAGAAACACTCTAGAAATGCAGGTGTGGACGTATGAGCTTAAAGATTGTTGCCACACGATCAAAAATGTGTTCGGCAGCTTTCATTATTTGACAGAAACTGATGTATCAGCTGTAGATTGTATTTTGAGCGCGGCATCAGAATATCTAAGCACAGGTGGAATTACAAGATGTTTCATTTTTCATTCATGGATAATGGTCAAGTTCACTTCTCAAAGTTTTACAAAGAATTTTATATTCCCCCACCATTCATTTACTTTTTGTGTATGTTTGAGCTTCATTGTGTAGACTGGTGTACTGATACAATGAAATGTTTTCACATTCATCAGTTGAAGAGGGAAAGCTTCTCTACATGGTTCTGAGTGTAACACCTGTACATACACTATGAGCACGATTATGAAACTTAACTCTTGAATTGAAAAATATTACATATTCTTACATTGTGCACATGTATCGTGCATCTTTAATCACCATAGAACACGTGATCCAGTTCATTGATTTACACAGTAAAAATGGACCAGAGCGCCTCTCTTTCAGTGTTCCTTGAACTTGTACCTTCTGTATTTTCAACTACATGGAAAGAGCCAAAAGAACTGAAATTAAAAAACAAAAACTACTTACTTAGAACAAACATACCTACAGTTTTGTAAATTAATGGCTCTAAATGTATAGATTTTATAAATCTTGACCTTGTGTGAAATTACCACCTGAAAGTATCTAAAGGTTCTTTGAAAAGAGAGAAATATGACTTTCAGGTACATTTATGTTTAAGAAACAAATGCTGAGGACTAATGTAAAAAAATATGTGTATTTGAATTAAAGGGGTGAATTTATGGAACAGGATCTGAAAGTCTGTAGCACATGCTGTAAATCTGAACAATGTTATAAAATAATCTAATGAACAAATATAAAAATATATGATCTAAATGACACGATGACATTAGGAAAGTTGTATAAACTTTGTCTGATGTTACTTTTTGAAATCTAATAAGTTGTGTGTTGAGAAAATGGAAGGCACAATGAGCTGTAGCTTCATCCTGTACACGGTTGCACTCTGTAGAAAATTGTTCTGCTATGTTGCGTTATATGTTGATGCCAATTTGTTTCTGTATCTCCAAATTACAATTTTAAACCCTTTAATCGTCAAGATCTGGATGTTCCTGATGTTCCCTAATTAATATCATATCTCTATAATGTGCTTCAAGTCAAAAAAGTGGATAAGTTTAGTAAGTGCTAAGTTTATGCTGCTGTTTATGCCTACATGTCTTACGTTCTCAGGGCTTGTTGGCTGGGGTCCAGGTTGTCCAGGTAGTTAAAGCGTCTTATGTCTTTGGGATGTCTGTCAGCATCTCTCCATGGAGGCAGTGCACTCGGCTGCTTCTCTGTTATGAATCCAGTCCTGAGGCTGCTTCCCACTCGCTGGGCGGTGGACGCCGGATGCTCCTCGGTGAGGAGGGCCGGATCTGTCAGATCTTCATGTCTACTGCTGATCATTGTTACATCTGGGATCACAAACTGCCGTAGGGACGAGGCAGTCTGAGAGGTGGGCAAAAGACTTTGTATAAACATTTTATCACTGCATTTTAATGTAGCTAATGTCGGTTTGTTCTGTATTTTTCTTACCCTAAGCCATAGTGTGGTTTATTTGAGAATATAATAATGAGAATTAAATAATGTTTCATCTTATGGTGGATCTGATCTCCTGACCTGCTGCGGGGTTACTCGCAGCCCCTGCACAGTCTGGATGTAGTGTCTCTTCCAGACGCCCTGCTCGAACGGTGTGGGGGAGAAATTGATGCACCAACTGAACCTCAGACACTTGGGCATCCACAGCTGGTCCAGCTCCACGATGCTCTTCCAGTGCCAGCTCACCTGATGGTTAAAAAAGGGCGCAGAGTGTCAGTTTTACTAGCTGTCAAAGTGATTGTCAGGTGAACGACCCTCCAGGTTGATATTATGTCAGGTTTTTGTACCTGTGCACATCGGCAGAGGCTGCGTGGGTCCAGGAAGGAGAAGAGGTAGAGGCAGAGGGCTCTGGGCAGCAGGCAGGTGAAGTCTGCAGCCTGCAGGGGGAGCTGTCTGCTCACACTCACACTCAGGAACCTCAGCTGCTCCATTGAGCAGCCCAGTACAAAGTCCTGCAGCACAGCCCTCCTCTGCCTGTCAGACCACCTGTCAAACTGAAGACATGAGTCTTTCACATGCACTGCTTCAGTTTCATTGAGCTGGATTCACATTGTGTCTGGACCCATCAGTGCATGTGTAGTGTGGCTCTATTCGTGTGATTTAAACTTACCCACTTTGCCAGAAGGCTTCGTCTCTCTTCAAACACCTGAGGGAGAAGAGAAGACTGAAGAAGCTTAAAAATAACATCAAACTGCAATGTTAGGAATACTACAAATCAAAATGCATGGCTAGCAGTGATGTAGTCTGGAAGGTTTTTTATCTGATGGTGGTGATACTGTATGATGGGATATAATTAAAGTTATCTCCAATGAGTAAGAACTTTTTTCTGACCTGCAAATAACATGATATTTATTTGTTAACATGTTCCAGGATAGATGAGTTGATCTGACCTTGCTGTTTGCCTCAGGGTGGTTCAGAGGAGTCCAGGCGCTCAGTTTGGTCTGCATCTTGGCACAGTTTGTAGGTGACCTCGGTGCATGTGGCATCTCTGGGTACTACTTAGCTATAGATGATGTATTAAAATACACAAAAATGAAACTTAAGTCTTCTTTTGGATGCTTTTTGTACATCTTTTGAGTGTGAGCAGCATGTTTCTAACACTTTCCACCATTTACTTTGCCACTTTACAGGATCTGCCTGAGCACCTCCAGGCTTATGTTTAGCCTCCTAAAATACAAAGCTACATAACATACCACCTTTTATCACACTTAAAATGTGTCATGATAATGTTTCTTTCCACTGTTACCTAATAAACAAAGCATCTCCTGCTCTAATTCTGTGTCTCGTAAAAATAAGAGTTCGGAAAAACACATAACAATTCCTCAGTGAAAATGGCAAAAATCCAACCGGACACACAAACTTAAAGCTGCAGTGTTGTATGTGTGAGCAGGACACTGCTGCTCAGCACTGCACAACACACTCCTCTGGTATTTAACTCACCATCAGTTCTCCTCGGCCGACACAAAGAAGTAAATCCAACTCCTAAACACACTTTGTGTTTATGTGCATACTCCTGATGGCCTTTGTGTCCGTACACCCAACTCTACTTCTTCTCTTCTTCTTCTTCCCACTCCCCTGTGCACAGTTTACTTGTTTCCATAGTAACAGTGAGTGTGCTCTCCTTACATCGACTGGCCTTCACAGCCTGTCACACACAGGGGGGTGCTGCAAAGCAAACCACGGTGGAGTGCGGAGTGTGTACAGGCCTCAGTGGCTCTAATGATGACAAATGTAGTGCAGAAGGCCTGACACTGCAATTGCTATAGAGACCATCTGCCTCACACACTGATACTGCAAAAAAATATGTTTCTCAGCTATACCTCTATGTAGATGATACTTATATATATTTAAGACACTGGAAATAAATGCGTTTTCGATGCACTGATAACTTATATCAAAAGTGATCGACATGCACAAATACAGTGGGTCAACCTTGTAAATGTTAAGATATGTAATTCAAAACATTAAGTACATGTAACGTGCATGTATTTAAACTTCACATTATCATTATGATTATGATCATTTTGATTAGTATTGTTATTATTATTATTGGTGGTAGTAGTAGTAGTAGTAGTTGGACCTGTATGTAATGGACCTGTTTTAAATAGGCTCATGTAGGCGTTGGCTCTGGGTTTTTCTATGCAATAATGCGCCCATTGTAACAATTAAGTTAAACCCACTGCTGAAGGTCCACTAATAAAACATTTTGGCCTATTTATCTGAAACACTCCGTTCCACCAGTCAGAGAAGTTCTACATTCAAAAGCTGAAAGCCTGCTCGTGCTCGGTTGGGCGATCGCGCGCAATAAAGACAGAAAACCTGCTGTGAAGAAAGAGGGAAGAGCTGCGACAAGTTAAACACACAGAGACAGATCACAACCGGAAACCCGGCGATTAGGCCTTCAAAATAATATTGTAAAACCTGCCATGGTTAAAATACTTGGGCATTCAGATAGCATATAACGTGTGTTTTTTGCGGAATACAATCATATATCATATAACATTTCACATAGTTGCCATTCTATTTAATGTTTAGCTACTATATTTCAAACCTATCACTGGAAGTATTCTGAATGTCACAAAAATACAACACATGCATCTGCAAAATGTACCAAAGTAAATGTACTGGTTTTGTAGAAAATTGGCCCCTGTGAAAGATATATTATTGTATATTATATTATAAGATTGTTAATACTCATACTTCATTACATAACTATTATTCTATTGTTGTAGCTGGTTGATGTGGAGTAAATTTTAAACAACATTTTTTACTGGTAGACAGTTTATCTATATAATGCACTGTACGGTGATCAAATGTTTTTACTTAATAAAGTTGATCTGTAAAAAGAACTACTAACTATAAGTGACTAATGAATATAAAGGAGTGAAAAGTATAATATTTTCTTCTTAAGTTTAGTGGAGTACATATATAAAGTAGCATAAATAAGTTACTTTCCACAACTGCTACCATTTTTTTTTATATATTCATAACTCTAAAATTGTTGGTCGAAGATAAATAAATATAAATAAATCCTGACCTTAATTTCTGTGAGAAAGGTGGGAATACAGAACAAAATAAAACTACGTCACTTCATTTGTATGTGACATAGTAAGAGTAAAACACAGCAATGTGTTTTGTGCTGGGGTTCGTTTCGTTTGTTTCTTTAATGTTTTTTCTGGATAAAATTTGATGTTCTTTATCTTCCTGCATATTTTAAGCATGGACAGGCGTTTCATTTTGTTGAAGAGGCTTTTAATTTGACGGTTTTGATTGGAAGCCATTTTTAGAATCTCACTGGCTTGACGTTGGACAGAGAGGAGGGAGAAAGGGGGAGGAGGACAGAGGAGGAGGACAGGGGGAGAAGAGAGGAGGGTACTGGTAGAGGGACATTCACTCATTGTTACCAAGTAGAAGACCGGCGGAAACCCCGTTGCTACACGTGAATTTTCGGCACAACAGTCAGGTAAAGTTGCCGTTAATTTAACCAGTTTTTCTTACGTTTATAACCGGTGCGTTTCTAACGAAAAAGCACCTCCGTTGCCGCCCGGCTCTGTGCGGTGAGCTGTAACACCGGTACACAGTAGGCTACGTTACATATGCCACGGTTAGTATCAGTTAGGATGAAGTAACCGTCATCTTTTGTCTACGCTGTGTTGCTTGACATTTCTATCGCTTTAATCCAACATTTTTTCTACTGTGAGTCAGTTACAGTGGACAGAGACACACTAAAGACCGTGACGAGCCTCCCGGTAACGTTAGTTAGATACACTCTCATTTATGAGGAGCAATTAATTTATGAATGCCCAGCTAGGAGCTATAGGAGGAGCCCGTTAGTAGTGGCGCACAGGTAGGCTAACTGACGCACTTATATCGCCTTAAGAATGAACAACCTTAAAAATACACCTGGGCTTATTTGACATTTGTGTTAACTAGACACAAGTGTACAAGAAAGTATTATATGTTGATGTTTTGCATGTCACTGCATTGAAATGCATTGGGTTGTTATGGGTGTGTACTGGCATGTAAATGATATGAATAATGATAAATTTAAAAAACCTGTTTCTCAACTGTAGTTACTCTACAAATTACACTACTACAGTCCTACTACAGTTACAACAATAACAGCGATAATAACACAAATTAAAACAAGTCACTTCAACAAGCTGCAACAAAAAGCTGAAAATATATGTTTAAATATAGTAATGATTTGAATCTTTCCACTGTACTTGATCATTTTTTCAGTAATTTTTATTTTAGCTCTGACTGTGATATATTGCTGTTAATTAATGTTGCTAATGTTATAATTCATCCACATAACCCAACCCACAGTTAGTGACCTAAAAAACAATTACCAACCCTCTTGAAACAGTCTTTTGTGTTTTCCCAATGCAGCCTGTAATTTGTCTAATTTTCCTGTAAAACGAAGGTAATTTTTGGTTTGCCTTTACAGATATAGCAAAAACTACTAATTTTGAGCTTATAGCATTTGAAGAAATGTATATATTTTAAATTTTGCGGTTTTATTTTTCAGGTTTTAGACTGAACATCATTTCAATCTGTGGTTGTCATCAATATTTCTCGGCAACATCATCGCTGTCCTTCGAGGCAGGAGAGGGAGGAGTGTGAGCCATTCGGTCACAGTGAGGCATCTTAAAGGACCACAGCATCTCTCAGGTGATGGAGGTTTTATGACACACTCCTGCCGGAATCACCACAGTGATGGATGCAGCCAGCTTCAATCATGGCCGTGATGGATTGTGCTGCCCAATCCAGACTGCTTCTCTGTGATCTGAAGAGGAGGAAGAGACTACTAGACAGTCCTTGAGCCTTGTGATTTACTCTTCCTGGTGAATGAGCCAGATGCTAACGGGGCTCACCCCATCGTCCTAACCAGCCGTCCCCTGGATCATTCTTCTCCCCTTCTGCACGGATCAGTCATGGATCTCCTATGGGTGCTGTCGGTGTCCATGCTGACCGTGTGTGTTGCCATCCCCATGGATGCGGCGGCAGGGAGCCACAGCCTGTTCACCTGTGAGCCCATCACCCTGCGCATGTGTCAGGGGCTGCCCTACAACTCCACCTTCATGCCCAACATACTGAACCATTACGACCAGCAAACCGCAGCTCTCGCCATGGAGGTACAGTACACTGCTGACATGTGCATATGTAACAACCTTTATTCAGACATCAGGTTATTTGTCAGATTGTGAGGGGCAGTGCAGATATTTGCTGATAATTTGTGCTGATAATCAGTACTGAATTTTAAGGAAGAGAAATCTGTTATAGACACTTAAGGGTTTGAAAACCTTTTGAAAAATGATTAGACTACAGGGAAACATGGGCATATGAAATTGTTTGAGGTGTATTAGCAGCTTTGTGATCCACCCCACCTATTCAGCAGATACATTGCAATTTTATTATAGTAATATACAAAAAAACGATTTGATTTAAAATTTACAATTTATTGAAAGGAAAATAAAATATAATTGCAGGGGTTTTGACCTAGTGATGGTAACAGCTTAGAGGTGAAGATTACTAAAACAATCTAAAAAAAATTTTAACCTATTTGTATGTATTATTTGTTACCTCTTCTACTATTATTTGGATTGAGGCCACAAATGGGTAATAACCCATATTAAATGGGCTTCTACCTGTCTAAGGTAATTTGTTAAATTCCTGTTAATAAAATTTTGAGCGATTTAATTTTTTTTTCATCTCTATTACATTGCCTCTTCCTTTCTATTTTGTGCGATTTTCATATTATTGCCTACCAGGACCAAAATTGTAGTGTGTTATTCAAAAGCTGTTGTAATTCCTCCAAAAACCTGAAAAACAAATTGGGATAATAAGGTTTATATGTGAAATACCGTTACCTTTTCTCATGAATTGTTCTCTCCAGTTCTCTCTCCACTTTGTCCCTGTTGCTGACCTTCTCTGAGCTTCTGGCTCTTCTAGAGTTGAAACAATTATGTCTTTTAGTTAATAGACAAAAAATGAATTTGCAACAATTTTGAAAAGCCATAAATGGCTTTTCAAGTAAAACTGCCAAATCAGGAACCTTGAATTGAACATGACTAACAGATATTTGATATGTACAAATATCTGGTGTATATTCATTTTAGCCTACTACCGCTTAAATTTATGGAATTGTGTTACTTGCACCTGAACAAAGTAGTAGTTTTATCTACAATAAATCATATTTTAGTTCATATGTAAAATATACATATCACCATTGTTTTTTAAAGTCATTCAAATTTTATTCAAAGGTGTCAGTCATTCTACGTTTGCAATTGCAAATCTCAGTGTAGTTAGTGATAATGGCCATTCCAGACAGGTACTAAGTGTGTTACCTTCAATCAGACTGAGACAAGCATTTGAAACGATTCATGTAAAAACCATGTTTATTTGTTAAGATGTAGGATGCTCATGCAGCCCAGATATGTTGTTCTGTGCAAGTCCGTCATAGCCATAGAGCCACAAGAGCCACATGTATTGGAAGTATGGCAGGTTGAAATAAACTGGATTTTTCCTTTTAAAATGACGTATTATCTTCTCTTCCACTTCTCTCTCTCTCTCTCTCTCTCTCTCTCTCTCTCTCTCTCTCTCTCTCTCTCTCCTTTTAAGTTGACCTTTTCTTTTCTTTTTCCCTCTCCCTTCTACCTCCTTTCTGTGTCTGACCTTTACTGTTTGTTTTTTTCCTGATCCCTTCACTCCTTTTCTCTATTGTAATGTTGTAATGTAAAGTTGTTGTGGCTGTACACGAGTAAAATAGACATCTGCAGACACACTCATATGCTGTTTATATTACACAGGTCAAGACAGGGGTTTGTGAATGTGATTAGTGATTGTGATTGTGAAGTAATTAGTCTTCCTCACATGTTGAATAAGTGGTTCAGTGTGTCTGCTGTGCTGCCTGCCCTATGGTCATCAGCAGCCTAGATAGCTATCACCACGGCTAACTGGGTATGTGCTGAGAGTTGGTAATATCAAAGTGCTAGCCTACTTTAATTTGGCTCTGCTAGCTCCGGGGACTGGGAGTGTATTACCAAAACATTAAGCAGAAAATTAAGTTTTAATATTTGTCCCTGGGGGCCACTAGAACAGTACATTATTAAACTCCTCTGATTTAACAGGGCGTGTTGTCCTAAAACGGTTACTGGCCGCACATCTGGCGTGTTGACGGGCAGAGCGATTTATCACAACGTGTAGTGACTCTATGCATCAGTTGTTGTGCACCAAACCCATTTTACATAACAGGCTTTGGAACAGTTTGTCAACTCAGTCTGGGAGGGAGGATACCAAACTTTGTTTCAGTTTGTTTCATCTGATGGATTAAAGCACAGATTGCAGTGTTTAGTCCATGTTTTATTGTTTCCACTTCTTAGATAATCTATAGATTACCAGCCACAGCGTCTAACTGTTGTAGCTGTGTTATCCTCTCTGAAATGTCGAGTTAGGCATTTAAACACAATCATGGAGCAGATGCATCACCTCGTTAAGTTAATCCCATCCTTTATGTAGGCTGATCTCTCCGGAAGCTCAATCTATCGAGCAATTACTGGCCAGACTGCGCCAAAACATTAGATTGGATGCTCTGTTGGCTGAACTATCTGCCTGTCTGTGTGTGCATATCAATCCATCCGTCTATATTTATCTCCGTTTATCCATCCTCAGCATCAGGCTCCCATTGGCTCCTGTTCCCTCTATTACTTTTACCCTTTGACCGCGCCCCGCCCTGCCATGGCACAGCGAGGATGTTGATGTGTGGAGCCCTGCCGACCATCTGTGCCCTCTCCACTGTGCAGTGCTCAGCATTGAGTACACATTGAGTGAGAGAGAGAGAGATGGAGAGTGGGAGGAGCTGTTTGGCACGAAAATCCAGGGTTATGTAACCTCTGAACATGCCCTGCCCGACTGGGAGCATGCAGCATCACATCAAAATCGCACCACACCACAGCTGCACTCACATTTGAAAAAGATGCAAACACCCTCCACCTCTCCTTTCTTTCTGTCTGCTCATACTCGCACTGTGTTCTCTTTTGTCACTGCTGAAATATTCCCTCTCATCGCCTGGGTTTACTCACTCTGCCATGTCTGTTTAAGATCTCCATAGTGTGATTTTTGATGGATATTAATATGCAGATTCAATTGGTGTATGTGGTTTCAACCAAGCTGTCATTAACCCAGTGCAGTGTTGTTTTGAGGCCAGGTTCGCTTTTCACACCTCATCACAATGTGTGGGTTGCAGTGAACAGAGAGAAGCACTTCTGCTTTAGACGGTGTTCACTTTGATTGGTCATGGATCCACAATTAAGTCTCTTTTAGTGCTCAGAAATGCTCGTTGGAAAACACATGGACACCAAATAGGCTCCAAATAACGCAGACTGCGCTTCTGTTTGGCTCTTGTTTTCCAGATAACTTGCCCTAGATCCAGTTCATGGGAGAATTCAAAGCCTATAAGATGTTGAGGGCAGCCAAATGAGAATTGACAGTTGATTTTAAAGGGAATTATCTCCGCTGAATAGCCATGATAATAATGATGAATGCCCTGCACCGTGGAGAACCAGGGAGTTGGACGAGAACCAACGCCTGCCGTTCTTGCAGTTTTTGTCTAAACCCCCCTGAAGCGGTGTCTCTCTGGATTTCTTTCTTCATGTCTTGCTTTTCAAGGTTTTTTCAAGGTTTTTGTTTTTGGGAAAGTGGACAGAATTTATATCATATTGTCGTAAACTTTCACATTTTCTTTGTCTTCTGAGATAAAAACTTCTAAACCTACTGTCTAGTGATTGTAAACTTTGTAATGTTTTTGTCTTAGTTTGGCCTTAGTGCAGTAACAGATGACTGCTGAATCAGAAATGTGCACATTAATAGGGATAAAAAAACAGCTTTGTTTTAGGTTTTGCACTGATACATTTTCTGTGGCTGTCTGAGCAGTAGACACCACAAACAAGGTGATTTCTAAAAACAGGATTTTCTGTTTCGGTGCTCATCCTCGCTTAGTCAGTCATCGCTGACCGTAGAATGACCTCACAGCTGAAGTGGGACAGCGGCCCCGGGGCTGGGAATCGGCTATTTCTGTGCCACAATGATACTGTGCCACACTCATAAGATAAGTGGGAGCGTAGCAGATTTGACTGGCATTATAAAAAGAAAAAAAAGAAAAGGCTAAAATCCCCTTCTTTAGAGATGGATGCACAGTGTAGCTACTGGATGAGTGTATGGCAGCGTCCTCGGCTTTGGATTCGTCTTAATATTTCTAAAACTACTGTCTAGTGATGTTAACATTACTGTTTTTCATCTGGTTCAGGTTTGCTGTTTGTGTAATAACAGATTTTTGGTGATTGAGAAATGTTCTGCAAACCACATTATCCTTACAGATTTACTAGATTTCCAGAGAACTAAATATTTAAATAATAAATAAATTTTGAAAGAATCATTGCAGCAAAAAATATTAATTGTTATTGTTAAATTTGTATTGTGGCCTTTTGCTTTATTATACAGTTACCGTAGCAGATGACTGCTACAGAGTGTAGAAACTGTTTCTTTAGTCTTGAACCAAAACACACCGTTATAAATATCTTGCAATAGCCAAAACATTCCAGATGTGGAACGGAACATTGACTCCCTTTTTTCATTTGATATGCTTCTCGGATGTTTTGCAGGAAAAAAAAGGAGAGACTTGGCTGATGGAGGTGGTTTTCAGAAAGGTCAGAGTCATGTGACTGTCATGGTAAAGGAAATGAGAGCAAGGATTGCTTGATCGTTTCTTCAAGGACAGATAGGAGAAGCCGGGCCAATGCCAACTGAAGATGTAAATTGAATTAGATTTGATAAGAGGGTGTGTTTACAGGAAGTCAGAGCCAAGGCAGCAAATCATTTTTAATGGCTGCAAGATAAAAAAGTCACATGAACGTTGTCGAGGGGAAATTCAGAGAGAGGTCTTAGTGACTATTATGGGAATCTAAGATTATGACTAGGTTACTCTGCCTGTTTCTTGCTCATCTTGATTTCAGCTTATCACGTTATTTGTCTCGCTTTGTTTTGTGTGAAGGGTGTGCAGTGACACAAAGACTAATCAATAGTCTGCTCAGTCCCACTTCCACTCATTTCCTCCTTCTTTCAGGTTGTTAACTCAACC